ATTCAGCCGCACATACCTCTAACTTGGCTAACAATCCACGTTGACCATCTTGCTCCAAGATAGAAGCCAATTGCGCAGGCGTGAGTCTTTCAATCTTAACCATATTCAGTAGGGCATCAGGAAGGGGTATCTGGGCCGATAAGAGGTGCTTTGCACAGAAATCACCTCCAGTCTCCTATTCATTACATAGCAAATACAGATTGTGAGAATTTCACAAATCATTCATTGAATATGGAAATTATGTCTAATACAAGCCAGAGTACCACTCGGAAAGAAAATGTTTTTCGCCTCGTGACTGTGTACGAGAGCCCGTGCATGTCTGTGAGCGATATATACTACTGTCAGTTAGCATGATCCGGTCGTTTGTCGACCCGGCGTGTGTAGTGGTGAAGAATGAACTACGACTTCGCGGAAATACAAAACAGGCGCGTGAGAAGGATTGACGACTCAGAGCTATAAAAAGCTGAGATCAATTTGAAGATGCGTAAATTTTGTATATGATAGCAAGAAACAGTGGTGCAGTGCACGTATGCATATGGCCACTGTGACAGGTCCATGGATACACAAGCTGGATACAGTTTATAATGGGATTTTGTATTAAAACCATTGCACAGTCATTGTGGATTAGCGAGGTCTGAAAATGGCAGAACTACACATCGATATAGCATGTGTTTAAATACGAACTTCGCGCAAAACTAGAACAACTTGACAGTACACGTATTATACCCTGAACCTACATATGATCTATTCGGACGAACTATATAGATACACAGCCGACAAATGCTCTCCATGAACAGCGACCGCAAATTTACATGTATGTTGCTATATCGTTCGCAATCTGAACTAGTTTGCACTCGAGTACAGAAGCATACATCGGGGACGGTAATGTATTCGAATTGAGCCAAACGGGGATCCTCCCTCTTATCGGTGATGTCCGGCGCACACAACATCAGCGCAGCTGATTTGTTCTCACTCAAACTAGGTACATAGAGGGACAAGGAAGGCTATTCGATGAATGGCGTCACACTATAATAGATTAATTGTTATCCCTCGAAACTATCGACGTGAAGAGACTCGTCAAGGCTAGTTGTTAAATGGTGTGCACATTGAGACGAACTTTTATCGGTCAAAAAAAAATACACAGGGGCACACGAAAAATATTCAATAAAAAAAAATGATGTGTACACGAAATGAATTGTTATAAAGTCCCGTCAAGGCTATTCGATGAAGGGTGTGCACGATCAATTTAAATAAAACTCATCCATTTTTAAAGTACACAAAGTGATACACGAGCCGCTTTGGCAAATGATGTGCATATTCACAATGAGAGACAGGGAGAGTGAATGTTGCGCTCTGTGGTAGGTTGGTATGGCTACAACTACACGCCATCGAATAAGTGAGAATCAGTGAGAATCAGTGGAAACTTTGGGTCCTATTATGACAATAAGGTAAACAGCTAAGCAGACCTTGGCTCGGCAAATGCAATACGATATATATTTCCGCATACTAAATATTACGAATCCTGTACTATAGCATCCGCTGTCCCAAGTCTACATACTTCGATATATTCAAGTAGAAAGGCAAACTGTTGTATTCATTGTCCTCCAATGTAAATCCATGCGTCAGCAGTAGAATGCCATTCGGCAGATCGCCGTAGGAGATAAAAGCTTGTTCTCCTGTGAATGGATATGCGGTATCGCGGTTTGAATGGTTCTGAAGCTCCAATGGTATAGGAATGATAAATTCACTGCGCAAATAGAATGTGACGTATTTGAAAAGTTAAGGACTCAAATACTTGTTAGATACAATCATCCATGTGCGTGTTCCTGTATGGAGACTGTTCTAAGCACGCAAGAATAGCAACCACGCGGCCTTATATTACCTTCTTTGTAGTCCTTGGTAGCCCTGACCACCACATTTTCGCCTTCGATCTTGAAGCAATCGCCAGAAGGAACATCGGGTGAGTGATTGAACAGGTCAAACCATGGAGCCAGTATCTCTATGCGTTCACCATCGGGTTTGGTCATTTCGGCCATTCGTGACCAAAGAACAGAACGAGCCCAGAGATACGCATCCAAATCAATAGTGTACGCTTTGAGAATCTTTTCCACTTGTGGAATGGCACTTAGCTCCTCAAATTGCTGGTAGCAGGAGAGAGTTGGGAGGGATGTTCAGAATATTAGTGAGAAACAGCCTGTTCATACCAATTGTTGCACACAAAGCTGGCAAACAAGATTGCTATGTCCGAGAAGCTATCAGGTTTGCAATCGGGTGATTAAACTATGAGGAATGTCATGCTACCGACAGTATTCCTATCGCAAGAACGTGGACTTCAATCAACTAGCATGCATAACTGGTAAAGACGCGCTAGGACGCATACTCTAAAATCCGCACGAATCATAGTGTCTAAGCTGGACATGAACGCGTGTGCGTTCAGACGTATGTTGCGATTTGGAACAGGGGAGTACATGAACAGGGTAAATGACCATCCATATGATACCATACAAGCATATATCAGGTGATGTATGTAGTGTTACCTTGCAGGTATCTGCTCGAACCGATATGCTGATATCATGCCATGGTGAACCCTCCAAGGTAGCCAGCTCATCCTTGTCCCAGAAGATTGGCAAATCAAAATCTTTGGGTAGGCAGCTGATGTGCGCGGCTCTGGAGGAATCCCCACCTTTGTTTCGCTCGACTGTGAGTTATTGTAAAGCGCAAGCCAATAATGTGGAGATGTAATTATTTATCCAGGCATATCTCCTTCTCCAGTAGGACGAACACCTAGTACCTCCACAAGTACCCCGATCGTAAAGTTCTTACATTGTCGTAATAGCAGTTTATAGACATAAATATAATTTGTACTCGTTGCAGGGGAAGATCTTATACCGTTTACACCCCTGATATTCTTGAAACTTCGTGTATGTTATGTTTACAAATAGTAGGAATGCAATTTGTTCTCATCACATAAACATCACTTCGACATCATCTATTGACATTCCATTCACATAGCGCAGCAGCGAAATTGCCTGCACACGAATCCTCAGTTTTGCGTATATTGTGCATCCAATAGTGCACTTTATATATATCGTGGTATGCACTATAGTCTAGATATTGAGCGTTTGTAAGGCACACACTATTGTTAACGCTCGAGTATATACTCGATTCCAATCACGCATGTACAAGTTGTTTTTTAGGGAAAACATCTGCATGCCTAGTCCACCCACATATAGTTCGAATTGGTATCGTGTCTCACAGACTCTAATCCAATGGTAAGACACGCAGCATGCAGTACAATTTTCTAATACAATCGATGCTCTATGATACTATAATGAAACTCGCATGCGAACTAGTGATTTGAAATTTTCGACGACCACCGTATCGATTGCACTGCAAGCTCAATACAGCAACGAAAACAACGAGGACGCAAATCGTAGGCAGAGTGATGTCTTAAGGCTATGTGGCATTTGATACAACAACAACAACAGGTTGACGAACTATAGAACTCGGTTTTCTATCAGGGAAGCTGTAGATAGTATATAAGAAATATAATCTGCATCAATGACAATTGGCCATAGACAATACCACAAGCTACCTACCTAACAATCCTTTTTATAAAGGCCCTGGCATAAACTACATGGGCCTTCATACCAATCATCACAGAAAACAGCTGTGTATGACAGTGGAATGACTATGAACAGAATATATATATATATATAGTATATGTATATATACATAC